GGAGCAGAGCCCCCGGGAAGTGGCTTGGGGTCCTCTGTGCTATCCCAGATAGCACAGGGATAGCTCACACTTCCTCTTGATCCCTCTCTGTCTCCCCCTGGGACCTTCTCTCTGGGGGCTATTCTGAAGGTGGTGGTACCTCGGTCTGGTATCCAGACCTGAAGCTGCTACCTTGGCTGGGGAGGGTTCCACAGACAACGTAACGTATCAGCCTTGTCCAAGAAGAGATCCTGAGAGCTTTGGCAGGCTGCTGCTGGGGCACCAAACTGTGCCAGCTCAGCCTTCCAAACTGCTTACTGACTGTCAAAGTGATCAAGGAGAGAGCCCTCTTGCAAGGAACTGGCCAGGACGGAAGCCTTGGTCCATACTGAGATCAAGGCTTTTGGAATTTTGCACAGTGCTCCTGGCCAGCTTTTGAAGTCTGACCTCCACCTTTGGCATTTGCGCCCCACCCACCCCACGGTTCCCAGCCTAAAGTACCCTGCTATGAATGAACAGGCCCCAAATGGAGGCCCAGGGCTAAGCAACCCTCCTAGGGAAAGCCCTGGTGATCACCCAGGGTCTTCCCAATTAGCACATTACCTCCCTGATCAATAAACCGAGAGGCTGCAATCAAAAACTGCTACTGTCACTTTAAAGTTTTTCTGAGGTTGCAAGCTTTGCAAGCTGCAGTGTGCTCTCCTGCCTTTGCAAGAGGCATGTTCATGGGCCACGGCTGACTCCTGCAAGATGGAAACCCTTCCTTCCCCTGTGTAGGCACCCTCCACCTGGCAGCTCTTAAAACTAAGGGAAAATATTATATATATATACATATCTATTTATGCACATATTGGGGTCAATTTGGTTTTGCTAGTAATAGACAATAAACCATAAAAGGACATTTATGATCTCAGTGTCTTTCTTTGGTATAAAAGTGACCTTAGACAAAGTTAAGGTTAGATATGCAGAGGACCAAATAGCTGTAGCATCCCCACGGGGGCACCCTGGCTGAATAGGTGAACATTTGCATCCTTTCAGCAGCATTCTTATTAGATTTAGGTACTGAAGAACCCCAATGAGTTCTGCATTTGTATATTTCAAGTTTGTATAAACCCAATACAGGAAATAAAACAAATGGTTTGTACCTACAGTGTGTGTCTCCCAGTCTACGTCCGTGTCAGCCTCTGGCTGTCCTCTGGGCTCGTGCAGCTTAGGGGCTTGGTAGGAAAGGGGAGCAGGTCTGAGGGGCTTGGATGGACCCCAAGCCTATGTACCCCTTCTCCCCTATCCTCAGCCTTACTTCTTAGCCTCCCTCCCAGGCAGAAATCCCACAGTTCACAGAAAAGTGCTGCCTGCCCTTGAGCTGGTGCATAATGCATGCTACCAACACCAGACTCATTGCTTCAGTCCAGGTGACCCCACATTGGGGCTTGTCCCAAGGTCCTATATAATGGGATATCAGATGCCTTGGGCCCTGGCACCTTCCTTGGTTTGCCTCTGAGATGGACGATAGGGCCGACCATATGAGAAGGTATATGGTTTGGTGTGCAGGGGGTACCAGAAAGATCATTCCAGTTTTTATCCAGCCTCGGTCCCTCTGGTTTATTTCTCCTGACAGTTGCTTAGTGGCTATCAGTTATTGAACCTGAGTATAAAGAACTAGAGCTTCTCAATTTAAGATCTCACTCTGAGAAGTAATTCAACAAGGCCAGGAAATCTGGGCATGGTGGTGCAAATCTGTATTCCCAGCAAGTCTGGAATTTGAGGCTAGACTGGGCTACACAGTGAGGCCATGTCCGACCAAATGGAACCCGTAAATTCTATGAGGTGGATAGTGAGGATAAAATGTGAGCCCAGGATAGTAGCACACCTCAGGGAGCTTCTGTAGAATGTCTGAGGGAGAGATGGTTCAAGAAAAAAAAAAAGGAGAGATGGGACGGCAACCTTCTAATTCCTGGTTTTGTGTTGTTTTGACTTTCATGCTAAATTCTGGACACCTGTTCTCATTTGTCCCTACAGAGCTGGTGGAGTGGGTGTTCTTTTTTAATATGGACTTGGTAACATCCCCAGGAGAGTTGTAAAGTCTGGTTTCTTTGGGAATCAGGGAGAAGAGAAAGAAAGTTACCTTCTACCAGCTGTATGGCACAGTCCTGTAATCTGAGCACTTGGGAAAATGAGGCAGGACTGCGAGTGAGAGGCCAGCCTGGGTTACATGGTGAGACCCTGTCTCCAAACAAAAAAGACACATTTCAGGCTGGGGAAGGTGCAAGGAGAGTTTGTCCCTTTTTGTTGTCCCCAGCCTCCATCTGCAGTTCCCTTCAGGCCTGAGCAGTGGCAGGGGCTTGCAGAGGAGGTGGACTGTGAGATTGCAGAGCACCACCTGGTGTCACTGTCTCCTCTCACAGAATGATGACGCAAGCTTTGCTCCACCTCCATGCCCAGATCAACCCTCTGACCGTTCTGGGCTGAGTCTGTAAGAGGTAATCCTGAAGGCGGTGGGGAGCAAGGCATCTGCTCCCCTCTGAGGAGCCATGCTTGGGAACTGTTTGACCACTTATCTTTGGAGGGGAGGGGAGTGATGAGGTCAGGCAGGCAGCCAGGCCTCCTGGGCCACACCACACATCCTTGTGTCCCCTTTGCAGCCTCTGGTGTAGAGCTGGGCACTAGTGCTGAGGTAATTGTGGGAACGCCGTGTGCCACACCCAGCTCCTATGGCTGCATGAAGATCTGGACCAGTCGTTCAGATTCTTCAGTCTCACGTTCCTCGTCTGTAAAACGAAGATATTAAGCACCCTTAAGGAGCTCTCAAGAAAGTCAAGTTGGGTACTGGTGGCTCATGCTGCCATGGTTGCCAGCCTGGGCAAATAGTTCCTAAGACCCTATCTCAAAAATACACAGTACAAAAAGGGCTGGTGGAGTGGCTCAAGTGGTAGAGTGCCTGCCTAGCAAGCACGAGGCCCTGAGTTCAAGCCCCTAGTAAAGTCAAATGAGAAATGGCCAAAAAAACACATTGAACATTCGGTTGTGGTGGTGGTGCTGACATTATGAGGCCCCTGGGCCAGCTGCAGGGCCTAAGGAGGAGGGGTTTTCCAAGATCTCTCCTTCACTAGTCCCATGGCTTCGCTGGGAGACGTCATCAGGTCTGGGGGTTGGCACCAGTGTGTGGGGGGGGACATAAGGGTGGAAGAAGGCAAATATGGTGGAAATACTACGTGCTCTTTTATGAAAATGGAACAGAGAGACCTCTTGGAACTATTGTAAGAAGGGGGAAAGGAGGATAAAGCAGAATGATAGAGGAGGTTGAGATACACTGTAGGCAGTTCTATAAATGTCACAATGTGCCCCCGTACAACAATAACATGCTTTAAAAAAAAAAAAAAAGCCAACACGGGGAGCAGCCATTGAGCCCTCTGAAGTATTCTTCTCCTGCCCAGTCTTATGCCTGCAGCCCCAGGGAGCTGGTCATGGGCTGAGACCAACTCCAGCCTTCCAGGGCTACATAATCCTTCCTGGAGTCATTCCTGCGAAAGACCCTCTCCAGCAGGGTGGGCTGCGGACAGGCCCCTCTGCTCAGCTCTCGTGCTCAGCCGATCAGGTTGGGAGGGCTGACTCAGGTTGTCTAGCTCTCCCAAGCTCACAGGTGGGTTCCGAGGGTGGGAGTGAGGGTGGGAGCGTCTGGCTGATGCTTTATACACCTGGGGGAGCAGTTTAGAACACAATTTGTGCTGTGAGCAGAAGTGTTTCATGTTACGTATTAATTGAATACTGTTAATGTTACAAGCATTCATAATTAATAACTACACTCTAACAGTGGCTCGTTAAGTACTGACCTTGTGCCAGGTGTCCTGTGCACCGCTCATGTAGCTGCCCAAATGCTCATGGCGTGACCATGTAGGTACTATTGTTAGCCAAGAAACTGAGACACAAAAGGGTCTCACCCCCCAGCTAAGTGACAGCCCAAGTTCCCAACCTACCAACGGTTTTCCTATGGGGCATACCGCCCCCTAGAGGGCAATTTGGCAATTTGCAAGAGAGCCTTGGGCTTGTCTCAAGGAGAAGGAAGGCCACAAAACTCTTGGTGGCATTGAGTGACTGCAATGCACAGGACAGATTTCCAAAACGAAGAAGTGACTTTTGGTTTTGCATAGCATAGCTCTAGACTTTGGTTTCCTTTGACTTTAAGCTTGTTTATTATACGTGTGTGCAAGCAGTCTGCCCATTTCAAGCCTGTCTCCTTAGCAGAGTTAGCTTGATTCGAGTTTTAACATATGTTAGGAGATGTCGTAGCATCTGTGACTTCATTTCTGGGCAGAGGGCACGTTACGAAGGGGATAATGGATGTCATGTGTTGAGGACTCTCACTCTACATTGGAACTGTCTGCCCCTTTCTTCAAGCATACAGAGGAGCCAAGGCCGTGCCTTATGGCTACTCAGCTGGTAGGTGGATAGAACCAGGCCTCCTGAACTGGCTACCCCCCGCCACCCAAGCCACCAGTCCAAATGCAGCAAAACCTCACAGTCCAAAGCTGGGAACTGCTGGAGGAAAGGAAGTTGAAGTCCCTCACATCTCCCTCCCCATGCCACATTTGCCCTTGGTTTACCCAAATCTGGCTCTCTGTGAGGTCTGCAACAGCTTTTACTCAGATGCTTATAGGCCCATAGCATCCAGCATGTGCCCCAGCACAAAACAAAAATGACTTTTAAAATGAATGTAGTATTTTCCAAAGAGACACCTGAGTTCCAACTCTTCCCATACCCTCCATCAAACCAAGAGAGCAACCCCGGGGACACCTGGACTCCATTTCTTCCACGTACAATCCAGGCTCAGGACTGGGGGGCTGGTGGGCGTTGCTCTGGCAGAACAGGAGAAAGGAGCCTGCGTCTTTAAGCAGCCAGTTGTGTATGGGAAGGGAGGGGGGGAAGTTAATGATTTCCCTGAAGCTCCTTTCACAATTGCCAAGGGTCAGCTTCCCTGTGAGCATGCAAGGCTCAGTCCTCTTGGCGCTCACCACCAGCAGCTGACCCAGAGGACCCCCCCAGGCTCTGCAGCATGATCTCCATCACTGAGTGGCAGAGTGAGTGCAGAGTCAGTGAAGGGAGCTGGGCTGGAGTGGGAGGGCCAGGCTGGGACGGGTGGGGAAGTAACCCCCAGCCTGGTCCTCTCCTGGGGACCTACAAATGTGACCTCTGGAGCCAGCGGCTGGCTCGGAGCTGCTGTGTTGGCAGGGCCAGGGCGGGTGTGGCCCCTGCCTTGCTGGGGGTGGGGGCTGCTCAGGGACCCATGCAACCAGACACCAGGGCCTAGGGAAACTGACCATTCACCCACCAGGCAGGCTGACCCCTTCCCATCCAGAGTTCTGAGAACTGGGATGTCACCAAAGCAGACCCAGGAGGCCTTTGCCCATTCAGAGCTCTTTCCCCCACAAATCCTGAAGGTCCCCTGTGGCTCTGGGTCTCTTCTTATCAGAAACTAAACTCCACTTCCCTACCCACAGCACCATAGCCTCCCAGCTAAACATCCCTCCCTGTCCTTAGGGGCGATGGTAGGGAGGTGGTTCACAGTGGGGACAGGGGAGGCCACAGGGAAGGGAGACTTCACCGGGGTGAGTCATTTAAAGCCTCTGAGCCCCATTTCCTTATCCACAAAGGAATAATCATGCTTGGTCTCTGCTGGGTACCAAGCACCATGTCAGGCATAGGACAACTGAGAACAAGATAGAATATTCCCTGCTTACCTTCTAGAGAAGGAAGACAGATCATCAACTGAGGAAGAAGAGACAAGGTAGCATGTCAGGTGGCCATCAGTCCTCTAGACCAAAGCAAAACAGAGTAAGGGGGCCGGAGAGTTTGAAGCAAGAAAAGCTGCTGCTTTATATGGAGAAGTCAGGGAAGGCTTTTATACAGAGACCTATAGGGGTGAGAAAGCAGGGCTATATGGAGGGGAAATGTTCCAGGAAGATGAAACAGTCAGTGCAAAGGCCCTGAGGTAGCATACTTGGTGTGTTTAAAGACCAAGAAGGAGGTTGGTGTGGCTGGAGCAGCATGAGTAAAGGGGAGAGCTCAGGTCAGGGAGGTCACTGAGGGGCTGACCTTTGACCATGGTAAGGACCTTGACTTTATTAACGTAAGATGAGAAACCTTTGGAGGGTGTTGAGCAGGGGAGCTCTGGGTGCTAGGAGGGTTATGGCAGCAAAGGAGAGACGGATTTTGTGGTGAGAGAAGGTAGAATAGACCAGGGTGTTAGCAGAGCGGTGGTGGGACACGGTCCATGCTAGATCTGTTTTGGGGAATTTGCTGATGGACCAGAATGCCTCCCCTAGCTGGGCCAGTGGTTCATGCCTATAATCCTAGCTACTTAGGAGGCGAATAGTTCTTGAGACCACATCTCCAAAATAACTGGAGCGAAATGGACTGAAGGCATGGCTCCAACAGTAGAGCATCTGTTTTGTAAGGGGAAAGTCCTGAATTCAAACCCCAGTCCCACCAAGAAAAAAAACAAAAAGTCTCCCCAGTTTGTAGCCTGGGCAGTGGGCAGGACTCGCGGGGAGGGGAGCAGGAGTTGGGTTTTGTCACACTGAGCAGGTTTGCGCTCTTAGCCATCCAACTGAGATGTCAGGTAGGGGGCTGGGTGTATGAATCTGGGGCTCAAGAGAGAGACCTGGCTGGAGAGGGAAATGCAGGAGGCCACATTTGGAGGGAGCCTAAAACTGTGAGTGTGTGTGAGATCATGGGCTCACAGCTTCTCAGTCACCCCGCTGCTGGCATTTTGTTGTGGGGGCTGTGCTGTGCATTGTAGGATTTTAGTAGTATCCCTGGTCTCTACTCACTACATACCAGCAGCAACCACCACCCCCCCATTGCCAGTTTGTGACAGCCAACATGTCTCCAACATTGTCAAATGTCCCCTGGGGATCAAAATTGCCTCCCTCTAACCCAGCTGAGAATCAAAATATAGAGAGAAGAGGCTGTGCCCTGACCCACGAGTATAACAATGTACTCTTACCAAATGTGACAAGTCCTACGAAGAATGTGCTATAAGAAGTCCTACGAGAGGGAGCAATGAGGGAGCAGAGAGGAACTGACATTTGAGTTGAGACCTGAAGGGTGAGGAGGGGTGCTGCAGGGAAGGAAACCTCACATACAAAGGCCCTGAGGCAGGAAGGCTCATTGAGGAAATCATGTGGGGGCTATGGTGGACTGAAAGGAAAGTAGAATGAGATAAAATTGGGGGTCCTGTCATGCCTGGCCAGCAAGCCATGCTGTGAATGAAAGTTCTCTGTTTCATTCTAAGGGACTGGGAAGCCATTCGGGATTCTTTTTGTGTGTGGATTTGAGCTCAGGGCTTCATGCTTGCAAAGCAGGTGCTCTACTGCCTGAGCCACACCTCCGGTCCATTTTGCTATACTTATTTTTTGGAGATGGGGGGAGGAGCGGTCTCACCAGCTATTTGCCCAGGCTGGCCTTGAACCTTGATCCTCCTGATATTAGGAGTAGTTAGGATTATAGGCAAGAGCCACCGGCCAGTATGGGGTTTATGGGGTTGGAACTCAGAGCTACCTGCTTGCTAAGCAGCCACTCTAACACTTGAGCCACACCCTCAGTCCTTTTTGCTTTAGTTATTTTTCAGATAGGGTGACAGGTTTTTTTTGTTTTTTACCTGGCTTGCCTGGACCTCAGTCCTCCTATTTAGGCCTCTCACATAGCTAGAACCACAGGCACATGCCACCCAACTTAGTCTATGAAATGGGGTCTCACTAACTTTTTGCCTGCGCTGATCTCAAACTGCGGTCCTCCTGATCTCTTCCCAAGTAGCTGGGATTACAGGCGTGAGCCACCACACCGGGCCCAGCCATGAGAGATTCTGAGCAGTTCACTGATATGATGGGATGGTATGCTTTGCAAGGCCCCTTGAGGGCTGTGGGGAGGAGAGCTTCGAGGGTGGCAGGAATGAAGCAGGAGACCAAATGGGAGTGGCTGCAAGAGTTCAGGAAAAAGAAGCTGGCTGGGGGTTAAGTTGCTAAGAGTGAAATGGACAGCTGTCAGGATGCATTTGGAAGCAGCAGCAATGTGACTTAGCTGTGGATTGGATGGAAGAGGGGGGTCTGTGCCTCCAATGGCTGGATGGGCAGTGGAGACACTTTTGCTCCCTCGACCTGCTTGAGAGAAAACTAAGCCAACAAAACCAAGCAAGCTGTGGATCTGGTGTGTCTCGGAGCTCTGGAGAGGCTTGGGCCTCGACATTGTCAGCACACAAGTGATATTTAAAGACGTGGGGAGAAAAGGCACCGGAGGATGTGTAAAAATAGGATGAGAGAGGGGTTGGGGAGCTGGGTCCAAGCCCTGAGCACGAGGAAGAGAGAAAAATAGGAACTGGTGAGGGAAAGGCTGGTGAAGACAGCAGGAAGAAAACTCAGATTTTTCTACCAGGGAATGGCTGACCTCTCTGTGCACTTGATAACATGGCCATTGCCACATGGACTCAACTGGCTAAAGGCACTTCTCAGAGCCAGACAAGTGAGTTCAAACCCTGGCATTGCCAGCCACTGGCTGTGTATGTAGCCCTACTTTGACTGAGGTTGGCTTAGCCTCTCAATGTTTCAGTTTTGTCTGTGACGCTGGGCTAACAGCAGTCCTTACCTCATAGGTGATTATGAAAACTAAACCAGTTGAGATGCCAGCAGTGCTAAGACTGCCCGTGCAGTGTGCGGACTGACTTACCAACCGCTACTGAGAACTGCGAGAAGGGGATGAAGCCGCCTCCTCTTTCATTTCCTCCTTTGCTTCCAGAATAACCTAGTGTAAAAGCCATTCAGTGAAATACAGCGAGGGGTGCCCAGAGCGTGGTGTCAGAGCCCCAGCTGGTGGACAGAGTATTTTATGGGTGCCTGTGCAAGGAGGGTGTCCCTGCAGGGCTGGGGAAGGGGTGGAGAGGTTTGCAGGTGCCACCTGGAGAGTAAAGAGACATCATTGGTACCAGGTCAAGTTGGAAGCATGCATCCACCTGCTAGGATGCAGGGAGGGGAGAGGAGGAGGAAGAGAGAGTGGGAGAGAGAGAGGGAGAGGGAAAGGGGGGGGAGAGAAGTGGAGCCAAAGGGATCCATCCACCTGCTCCAGGAGATATTAACCTGGATTCTGCTAACGTGTGCCCTTTTGCAGAGGCTGCAGGTTGTGGGCTCTTCCTGGTAGTGGCTTGCGTGCTTCAGGGCCGGCTGGGGTGGGGAGATGGGGGGGGTTATAAGGCAATAGCGATGCAAGTATTCCTTGACAGCAACCTGAGGCCTGAAGAGGTCTCCACCTTTCACTAGGTGGCGCCCCGGAGGGACAGGCCTGTCCTGCAGTTTACCTTAGCATCCCTGCTGTGTAGCGTGTGATAGCCCCGCCGCCTCCAGCAGGGGGCGCGCTTCCCCCTCTGACCGGATCGGGGGACAGCAGACCACAGTCTGCCACTCTCATGCCATCTATAGGACATGCCCACTCTGTCTTCTCTGCCATGGTTGCTGTCCTCAGAGAAACTTCAGGAGCAACCTGTGGTTTAACGATTTGACTGAAATCGTTAAGCTACTGTAGAAACCAGAGGAAGTTCTAAAGCTTGGGTGTGAAAAATCCACTTTCTGACTCGTTTCTGTAAGGTTTTGTGGCCCACTGAACAACTGGGAGCAATAAACATGATCTATAAACAAGGCTGCCCCAACACAGGAAAGTTCTGGAATTACACCAGCCCTTGAAGAAGAGTGGGGGACAATTGGAACCGGGATCGTTACACAAGCCAGCAAATCCTGGGCGAGTCAGCAGCCTCTTGTGGATTCTCACATGGTCCATCTTGGATTCTGCTGGGTCTTAGGACCTTCATTCACCACGGGACTTTTTCTCATGGTGATCCTCAGAGTATCACTGGGCTCTGAACTGGTCCTTGCACTTTGAGATTCTCTTCCTGTGCACCTCTGATCAAGTCAGCACACATCTTCACCGGGAGGGTCTGTTGTGGCTGTTTAGGGTCATTCTAAATCGGTGAGTTGTCACTTCTGCTCCCACCTGCATCTTTCCAGTATCTTTAAAAACCATGGCTGCAGCCTGGCTTCCTAACCAACTTGTCTTCTGTGAGACCAAGCAGCAGTGCGCCTGGAGCAGAAGTGGATATACCAGAGATCCGAAACATCTGCCATGTCTTCCTCAAAAAACAGCATCAAATGTGAATTTGAGAAACTTAGGCTGTTTCTACAAAATGAGTAAGGCTGCTCTTAAGTGTGCACAAGATGGACACAAGGATATATATATATTTTTTGGTACTGGGGTTTGAACTCAGGGCCTCATGCTTACTAAGCAGGTGCGCTACCACTTGAGCCACTCTACCAGCCTATAAGGATATTTTAACAAAACAAAATGCAAACCCAATAAAATGTTCATATTGCCTTTCCAAGTGAAAATATCTCCTAAGGGAGGTAGAGGGAAAGGTGCACAGTTAGAACTGGAATCATGATGAATATTTCTATGACAGATGTAAACTGATAGCAAAATCTTTTTTCCAAGATGGTCTCACCATATAGCCCAGGCTGACCTTGAGCTTACCATCCTCCTGCCTCAGTCTTCCAAAAGTGGGATTATACCCTTCACGGAATCGTAGAGGTGCGTAACCATGCCTGGCTGATATATATAGAACAGGCATAAAAACTTGAAGCAAGCTGGTCCTGGCGACCCAGGCCTGTAATCTCAGCTACTAGGGAAACAGAGGCAGGAGGATTGCAAGTTCAAGCCAGCCTGGGCTACAGAACAAGATACTGTCTGAAAAAGAGTGGGGAGGTAGGGTGGTCTAGAGGTGAAGCTCAATGGTAGGGTGTTTGTCTAGCACTCATGAGGCCCTGGGTTCAAGTTCAGTACTGGGGGAAAAAACCTAAAACACTTTTATCATTCAGATGAAGGGAATGTGGCTGTGGTCTTCTTCCACAATGCCCTGGTTTACACAAAGTTGTCAGAACAAGTAGATGTACTTCTGGATCCTAAGTTTATTCTCTCCGCTGCTAGAAGTATCATGCAAAATGGAAAGACAGAACACAACCTCCACAATGCCCCGGGGGGATTGCATTCCATCCAGCTTGGTGTCTTGGTGTCAAGAGATTTAATTCAGGCAGGCATCACCCAGAGGCAGAAGCAGGAAACAAGCCCAAATAGATCGTGAAGGTTTGTCAAAAGCAGGAGGAATCAGCCATCTAAAAACCAGATTCTGGGTGACAGGTGACATGATGAGAGAAATGACGTTGCATAGGGTCTTAACAAAAGCCAGCTTCTGCCATAAGTCAGACCCGATAAAGGTGACATTTTATAGGGCTATGAATTGAGTGGGGTTTCAGCCTCAACTCAATCTCAACTCTACATTTTTTTGTTGTTGTTGCTCTTTTGTTTTGAGATAGGGTCCCACTATCTCAGTGAGAGACTCAGACAAGCCTCAAACATGGTAAGTAGTCCAGGCTGGCCTTGAACTCTCCATCCTCCTTTCTCCACCTCTCAACTGCTCAGTGCCAGGACAACAGGCGTGCTTGCCACCACTCTGCTTCGGCTCTACATTTTGAATGATTCGCTTAAGAATGATTCTTTTAAAGAAGCAGTTTGACTTTATTTCCACAGTAAAATTAATCTTAACCCTTTAAAAATCTGTATGATAACACATTTTCTAGGATTAATGAATTGTGTTGTTTTCTTTCAGTTGTAAATATAATTTAGCCAGTAAGTCTAGTCGTAATAATTTTGGTTTTGTTTTTACGCTTCTGTTTTTACATTCTCCCCCTACTTTTATCAACTACCCGTGAAAACATGGCAATAGTATCAATTTCATAGACATTATGAGGATCATTCTAAAATGTTAGTTAACAAGTCCTGTAATATTTTTCACACGGATGGCAAGACATTCAAGAGACGACAAATGGTGCTGGGAAAAGTGGATATCCACATGTAGGAGAAAGAAGTTTGACCCTTGCCTTACACCATATGCAAAAATTAACTCAAAATGTATCAAACACCTAAACATAAGAGCTAAAAACTATGAAATTCTTAGAAGGAAACACTGGGGAAGCTTCGTGACACTGGAGCTGCCAGTGATTTCACCAAAAGCATGGACTAAGAAAAAAGATCAAACCACCTCGAAATTAAAAACTTCTGCGCATCAAAGGACAAAATGAGCAGAGTGAAAATGAGGGAATGGAAGAAAGTATTTGCAAATCATATCTTTAATGAGGGGCTAATATCCAGAACATACAAAGAACGACTACAAGAGAAAGAACAACCTGATTGTTTTTTAACGGACAAGGGAGTTGAACAGACATTTCTCCTAAGAAGATGTCTCCGAGACATCACTAATCCTCAGGGGGCACAAATCCAAACCACAGTGTGACACATTGCCTGCTCATTAGCATGACTAACAAAAACAAAACAGAAAATCAAAGGTTGGCAAGGAGGTGGAGAAATTGTAACCCTGTGCACTGATGATGGAAATGTGAGATATGAAGCCACTTTGGAAAATGGTATAGCCATTTCCAGATAATTAAAGGTGCAATTACCTTATGATCCAGCAATTCCACTTCGGGGTATCAACCCAGAAGACTTGAAAGCAGATCTTGAGGAGGTAATTTTCCCACTCATATGCATCGCAGCATTGTTCATGATGGCCAAAATGTGGACGCAACCATGCACCTATCGACACATGAGTGGATCCACAGAACGTGTGGTGTCCATACAATGGAGTAGTATTCATCCTTAAAAAAGGAAACAAATCCTGATAACATGCTCCAGTGTGGAGCAGCCTTGAGAATGTTACAAAGTGAAATAAGCCAATCATAAAAGAACAGGTGTTATATGATTCTACTTCTACGAGGTTCCTAGAGTTGTCAAATTCACAGAGACAAAAAAAAAAAAAAAAGTAAAATGCAGGTTGCAGGAGATTGGGGTAAGAAAAATGGAAAGTTAGTAGGTTTTTTTGTGTGTATGGTACTGGGGTTTGAACTCAGGCCCTACACCTTAGCCACTCCACCAGTCCTTTTTTGTGAAGGGTTTTTTTTGGATAGGTTCTCATGAACTATTTGCCCCGCCTGGCTTCGAACCACAAGCCTCCTGATCTCTGCCTCCTGAGTAGCTAGGATTATAGGCATGAGCCACTGGTACCTGGCAAAAGTTAGTAGGTTTAATGGATACAGAGATTCAATTTTTGTGAGATGGAGAGTCCCGGAAATGAATGCTGGTGATGGTGGCATAAGTGTCAGTGCTCTTCATACCATGAAGTGCACATTTTAAAATGTGTTAAGTCTTATCTTATGTGCATTTTCCCATAATTTAGAATTTATATTTTAATTTAACTTGAAAACAAATGGTCGTTTGTTGACTATGACAGTGGTGAAAATGTGTCCAATTCACAATTCTGAGTGATGGGGAGGACTTGAGACAAACTCGTCCTTTTGTGACTGACTTAACTTCGTATTAGTGAACATGAAGAGTTGCTTAGGAGGGTCAGCTTTCTGAGAAACCCAGTGGGCCAGCCAGGCAGTTTTTGAGCAGCACACCGCTGTGGATGGCTTTGGCAGCTCTCAGTTATACAAGCTCAGTAGGCAGATGGTTATATTCATCCAGCGACCCGGCCTGAAAATGATCTGGGTAAGGCAGCATTTGCACACAAGCGGAAGCTGTCAGTATACAGTGGTGATAAGACACTGGGTCCTCACAGGCTGTTGTGAGGACAGATGCCACAGGGTATAGAAGGGACCCTCACAGTTCCCATGAGCTAAACGTAGTTCATGCCCATCCTCCTCTTGCCTGAGCTGTTGGGTAGAAATGGACCCCCCTCCAGCCACACCAGCACTGTGGTGATGGGGCAAGTTTCAGAGTCTCAACCTACTTCCCACACCCATCCCCGCCCCCAACATCCTTGCCTGTTGCAGAGATTGGTGTGGGCATCACCGGATTTGGTATCTTCTTCATCCTCTTCGGTATTCTCCTGTACTTTGACTCGGTGCTCCTGGCTTTTGGAAATGTGAGTCCTCCCACCCTGTGTGCCTCCCCTGCCCCAAACTTCCTGAAGTCTCTATTACCAGAAAGGTCAACCCCAAGTTCATTCAGACCATACCCAAGCCAAGGGCCAGACATCATCAAGCCTGGGTAGGTGATGTCATGGGGTGGACAGCAGAGCCTGTGGGCACAGAGACTCTGAAGACTTGGATTCTTTTGTCAAACTCTGGGTGAGGCCCTTGGGGTTCCATGATAGATAAGATCCTGTCCCTATCCTCTGAATCCAAGCATCTACAGATAGGGATGTAACATGTACCTACATGGCTGGGGAGGATGGCAGGGGTCACAGTAAAATCAGAGTAAGATAAGCACATTTGGAACAAGGGTTTAGAGGAAAGAGGATAATGAAAAGCTTTCGTAAAGGAAATGGGTGTAGAGGTGGGAGCAGCAAGAGAAAAGACACCGGGAAGGGAGAGAACGCATGGAACATATTGGAAGAAAGCCAGAGAATTAAATTTCCTGTGACCTGGGTCCCCAAAAGGGACTGTTAGAAGGCATGCTGAAGGCAGTGGTAGAAACCACACAGTGGAGAGCCTGGAGTGTGACTCTGTAGAGCCCCTGAAGGTTCCATGTGGCTTTGGGTAAGGCTCCCTAACCTTTGTAAATGGAGAGGATCCCACAACGCATCCCATTTCCCCAGGAGATGTGATGAGGAATGAAGTCTATGTGAGGAGGTGCTTGGAATCCAAGGAAATGTGTGGGAAGCTAAAGACCTTCAAATTTCTCCTTGTCCACTCCTCTTGCCTCTGAGTGGTTCTGCTCCTAACCAGTTGGAGTTACTCCAGGCTCTGGGATTCTGCCACACTGGTAGATCACCCCTCCAATGTGGTCCTGAAGAGTTAGAAGGTCCTGCCCTGCCAGACAGCTCCAGGCCTGAGCCCCTGCCTCCTCAGGAGGAGGGGGTGACTGCCCTCACACTCATCCCTTCTCCCTACTCTGCAGCTGCTGTTCCTGACCGGCCTCTCCCTCATCATTGGCCTGAGGAGGACGTTTTCCTTCTTCTTCCAGCGGCACAAGCTCAAGGGCACCAGCTTCTTCTTGGGGGGCGTGGTCATTGCGCTCCTGCACTGGCCTCTCCTGGGCATGGTCCTGGAAGCCTACGGATTCTTCAGCCTCTTTAAGTAAGTGCAGATCCTCATATCTGTCACACAAACTGAAGCCCAGGGAGAAGTCTCTGCCAGAAGTCAATCTGTAATCTCACCCACCTGGGACACTCAGGGATCCCTTCCCATACCAGCCTTGCTACCTCCTCTCCCTATGAAGGATCACACATACATCCCCAGTCAGGTTTGATAAAGGTGGGATGTCAAGGGCAAAGGTGGCTCATGCAGGAGATGTTTAGACGTGAGGCACTGCCGATGTGAGCATGGCCTCCAACAACTATCCATGCCCAGGTCCCAGCCAACCTAGAGCCAGTGCTTCACACCCAGGGCAGAAGAAGGCATCAGGCCAGAATAACAATGAGAGTAACTGCCATAAAAATAAATGCCTCCCGAGCATGGCTTTGTATGAGGTCCTATGATGTAGTTACTAACAGTATTAACCATGGTTTATGCTGGAAGCTGAGCTTCAGAGAAGTGAAGGAATTTGCCTGGGTATATAAGTGGAAGGGTCAAGAGCAAGGTGTCTGGCCCCAGGGTTTCACTCTGTTCACACTTCACTCTGTCACCTCTCTAAACAGAGGGTACAGAATCAAGCTTGCCCCCCGTACCCAGGAGTCTTGAGAGCCAGAGTTTAAGCCTTTGAGTGGGTGGACCTCAGCCTTGTCATCCCCCTCCTCTCCTCCAGGGCCATCACTGACCTCTCTCCTTCCCTCTGTTCTTAGGAGCTTTTTCCCTTTGGCTTTTGGTTTCCTGGGCAACGCCTCCAACATCCCCTTCCTGAGTGCAGTAAGTAGATCCTGCGTGGGGCTTGGCCATGGTGAGTGGGGTGCAGGGAGCTGGTGAAACTGTTGTCTCAGATGAACAGACCTTCCTCATCTTCCCTCAGACCCCACCCCAAGATCACCAGCCTCCACCCCTCTTCTCTTCCCTGCTCCTTCTTCATTTGACAAGAGAGGAGGAGGTGAGGGCTAGAAGCAGGTGCACCAAAGATATGGATATAGAAGAAGGGAGCTGTCAACAGCAGCCTCTTAGAATCAAAGAAATGGAGGCTCAAAGACTCCAGGTGACCCAGCCAGAAAGTACCTGAGATTTCTGGGGAGCTGGTTAAGTCTGGGTCCCAGGAATGGGGAGGATGTGTGACAGCCAGTACAGCAGGAAAAGCAGGTAGCAGAACCCATCCTGGTCTCCAGCCCCTGCACCCCCACCTCCATCTCTGAAGTACCTGACAGAACATGAGCTCGGTGAGATGCCTAGGGAAGCCCCTGAACCAGCACCTTGCCACGCCTGCCAGCTGGGCACAGCCCCAGAGCCCCTCTCCACAGCTGTTTATGGCATTGCTCCCAGCTCTCAAGGCCAGCTCCTTAATAGCCTGGATATTGAATTTGCTCCCCACTCTTTGTCTGGAGTAATGATTCTTTGCTCCCACAGCTGTTCCGGAGTCTTCAAGGTACCAGCTCAATGGTCTGAATCGCAGAGATGAGCTCCTTGAACTTGAATCTTTGATGGAAGGGGATGGGGCTGGAAAGGAAATGGGGGCCACCTCCACAGACCTCCCCCCAACCCAGCACTGACTCACTTCCAGTCATACTCAGTCCTCACCAAGTCCAAAAGGAAAGATGGAGCTGAGAGACTAACCTCAAACCCCAGAGTCATCTCAAGAGCCTCCTGGGCCTATTGAAGAGAGATCCTGGCCCCGTGGGGCTGGCATGACATCCTTGACCTGGATTTATGAGGGAAAGTGACAATTAAATCCTCAAGCTATGAGTGTGTCTGAGACTCGCAGTCAGCATCTCCAGCCCAGGAAGTCCATCCCCAGCCTCAGAGAAAGCCTGAGGCCCCCACGTCATTCCACATAGCAGAATTACAGCCTCTGCGGGTCAGGCCTACTTTCCTCACTGCTGGTGTTTAATAATTTTGTGAGTGAGAGGGCACGTTTGTAAGGTTGTTGGTAATAAGCATCAGGCACGTGATGGGAACTAAGCCTTCCATAGCATCAGGAAGTGCACCTCAGTCATGAGGCCATTGTTCTGCACAGCGCCCCCACCAGGTGGAGCTGTGCTCACACACCTTCCTGTCTGACGCAGCCCTGCCTTCAGAGAGCCAGACAAAACAATCCCGGCCCCCAGGAACCCCTTGTCCAAGGGTAAAAAGAGTTCTTACAGGCTCAACATAGAGACTGGTCACTTGCATGTGACTATTTATTAATGGCTTTCTCTGTATGTACGAAGCAAAGGAGTGGGTGCCAAGGCTATGGGGAGGGTAGGCCTGTCCCTGTCCTCAAGGTGCTGTGCCCAAGCCAGCACAAAACAGTGAAATAGAGGGGAGAGAATGGGGGTCCCAGCAGTGGAGCCTCTCTGGATGCACGTCCACCTGGAAGTCACTTGTTTGCCTTCCCTAGTGCTTCCCAGGTCCATCCAGGCTCTGCATTTTATTCTTCATTATCACAACCAGCTGCTTACATAACTGTTGCCTGCCCAATCATGTCATCTATTCATCTCCAAGTCCTGTGCTGAGCAAGTGCTCAGTACTTGAGGTAAGAAAAAGTCAGATCCTCCCCCTACCCCCTCAGTCTCAGGTCACAGCCTTGGAGCTGCCTTCTGCTCGGAGGCCCAGGCTGACCTGGTTTTTTTCTGAGCTGGCATTCTGTGGGCATCAAGGGGCCCCTAGGTCAGACTGTGCCCTTCCCTCTCTTCTCTGGCCCTACATCCTGTTCACTTCAGACAGGGTGTGTCTGGGGCTCTTGATGGAGAGGGAACATGTCACACGCACACTCCTGAGGTGGCTGTCTCCTCATTGTTTGGGGCAGAATGGGTCTTCAGCTGAGTGGGTCAGGGTGGGAGACGGTGGAGGAGGATGGAAAGAATTAGTGAGAATGAGAAAGCCAGCCTTGGAGGGCTTCTGGAAGGGTGGAGGGGAACAGGCTGGCTCCAGGCACAAGAGCTAGGAGGTGGCACATTCAGGGCGTAGCATGCTCTGAGGGTCTGGCGGGGCAGAGGTGGGCTTTTGCCTAGAGACGTCACCCAGCTTTATAAAAAGGGCTGTGATCAGAGAGCAGAAGAGAGCAAGCCCAGGAGCCAGCGCCCACCCAGGCGTCTCCTCAGATTCCCTGCAGAGCTCCCACGGGGCCAGGCCTGAGCTAAGGTAGGTGTGCTGTGCATCCACAGTTGGGGTGGGGTCTGCCCTTACCCAGAATGCCTCTGGGGGGAAGCAAGGGATTCATCCCAAGACTGACCCATACATCCAGAAAGGCAAAAGTATGTGTAGGGGGAGAAGATTTTCCTAATTGCTGGGTTGGCCAGATTAATCTGAGGTGCCAGATGAGGACACTGGCTTGCATTTTGTTTGTGAAGCCAGGACCCTGCAGCTTCCAAGGGCTCTCTCTTGTTGCAGAAGGAATCAATGCAGCGAAGAGATTCTCTGTGGCTGGAATTTGAGGCCACAGAAGCTTTGGGAGGGAGCCAGGTTTATGGTCTCAACAGGGCTCCTCCAAATAGTTCCCTAACAAACCTAACCACGTACAAACCCTGTCAGCCACTTGCTAAGAACCAGGGCCACCCCAGGAAGGAAGCCACCCCATTTCAAAAGCCTTCTGACCATGCCTGGAATCTCTCTGTTATTCACTAGATATAAAACTGCCTGGGTTTGGGGAGTGGGGCATAACAATTGTGCAGAGTAGGTCAGTCACTCATGGACTCAGAAGCTGATGGGTTTTTCCTGACAATTCAATTCTACCACATGTGTTATGTGCCCTGTGGGCCAGGCAGTGAACCAGAGTTGGGGGAATCTGAGTGTTTATGTGTGTGGTGCAAGTGTGTTTATGGGGGCATTGTGTATGATGTGTGGATGTGTGATGTGTGTGTGTATGTGTGT